GTTAAAAACACACGAGTTACAAAAACAGTTGGTTATGTCTGTGAAGGTAAACAGCTGGGAAATAAATTGCATGTTTATTTTAGATCTGTGTGGCAGCAGCAATATACAGTAAATAAATCAATAAATCCACTGCTGTCTTGTGTCCTCTAAGGCTGGGACTCTAAATAGTGTTCTGTGCTCGACTGTGCAGCCAAAGACAGAACAGTTAGCATGTTTTGCTCAAACTTTCGCCATGGCATTAGAACTGGTACACCATTGTCACTTGCGAAATCAAAATGACGGCACCTTGAGTGGAAGTTTACAGATTGAGGGGCGGTAATATTATAATGAGATCCCTTTGCCACGTCACCAAGGGAGCAAATCAGACGCGCTCATTTTCTCAGACGCTTGCAGAAAAAGGCTTACCAAAACAAAGTTACTGGGTTAATCTTTTTCACGTTTCCTTGGTTGGTAGATGCACCGGGGACCTAATTTAGCACTTAAAACCTGGAAAAGTCAGATTTTCATGATATGTCACCTTTTAACACATCTAAGCAATGCAATAAAAATCTTTATTTTGCATATTTTAACAATAACCCTTAAAGACCGCAGTAAACAATTGACAAGTACAGATTAAACAAGGCAAATTACAGCTGTAGAGGTAGTTGGTGAACTTATCTAACGTGCTGTGACTTTGACTCTCCATGCCCTAATTTAAACCCTTTTTATGGTAAATGATAAAATCAGAGATAAAATCCTATGCACAACTGAGTTGTCCAACCACAAACAACATAAAAAACACGCGATCAAGTGCTTATCAAAAGGGCACATAAAATTGCAAATCTGATCAACAGTCTGTCTCCCACAGGTTTGAGATTAGTTATTACACAATAATTTAAATATTTATGACCACTCTCCACATGAAATTTAAAACTGAACGGATTGTGTGATTTATAAATGAGAGTTGGAAGAGTTAAGGTTTTTATGCCTTTCTTGTTATGTTTTTCCCACTGTGATAATAACGCATTTTATTAGCATGACAATATTGTGTTTATGATTTACAGGAAACATTCACTCCTTAATAATCATCTCGGTGTTGCTTTTCAATTAAAGTACGGCCGGTAAAAAGAATAATTTTCTGTTCCGGTATCTTTGCTGCGTCAGTCGTAACTCCGATCAACATGCAGCCTTCAAAGAAGAATGAGTAAAAATTTGTTTGTGCATCTAACGATGTGCTTTGTCTGGGTGTTATTTTTCCACATGGCTCTTGTCAGTCCGTGCAGGTTCGGGGAAAAGACTTGGGTTTTCCGCCAGAGTCGCGCGAATCTTTTTCTTCTCCTTAAACCGCCCAGAATGGGACACTTTGACATGACGGCCCTTGGTGTTAGATTTATCCACTATTTTTTCCAGTCTGGCATCTAAATTGCTGTCTGCATCAGCGTTGCCCAGGTCTTTATTCGCACTGTTGGTGCTGAAATCGGGTGGTATTTCATACTGGACCTTCGACTCTGACTTCTTTTTCCTCAGGAAGGTGAGCTTCCACCACGCAGGGTCGGCCATGACAGGTGTGAAGGGAAGACAGCAAAGTAGGCCTGTAACACGAATGCAGATTTGTTAGGTAGCTAGAGATTAAAGTTACTGAGTAATGTTCCAAATATAGAATCCAACTCATCATAATTTAACAGTGAGTCTGCAAGCTGCTTAATTCTCCATCCATAGCATAAGACTCATTTATCACCAACACGCACGGGTTTTGCCCTTGGATGTGCTTTTATGGATACAAAAACATTAGAACATTAGCAGGCTTATTTGCGTACTTTAGCACATTCTAATCATCAAGACTAGTCCTCTGTGAGGTCATATGCGTGTCTCCTCATCCAATGATTAGATTAGAATAACAAGAGGACACCTGACTCTGCTGCTCAGCTGTTTAATTAATGAACAGCCCCACTGGATCCCCTGACACTCCCCTGAGATCTGAGATGCACCAAAATAACATTGCATGAACCAAGACACTTGAACATCACCTTGATGGATAACTTTGTATTACGTCGCACTCCGATAGAGTATCATTTGTTATGTAATATTGGACAGACAGTGTATAGCTATTGTACACATCACAAAGCATGTACAATGATTTACCCATGTGATAGCAACCAGTGTAAACACTGGAGACTCGCACACCTGCATACTGGTAATAATAATGTGTATGACTGGTATCACACTAGGGTGTGTCATATGGTCCCTTAGCAACATTGTCATAGTCATCATTAAATGGAGTGTATCAATGAACATGTGATTGTTCGTCCAGCGAATGCAGCAGGTTTTATAGCACTGGTGTGCGATAAGATTTTGAGTATCAGATCCGAAGTGATCTTTAGAAGGCTCTAGTAAACACACCCTTCACTTGGCAGTTGCCACCCA